GTTGGCCAAATTGGATACTTACCTTTTGCATAGTATGAAACCAGCACCTGTCTGTATAGCTCAAAAGAACCAGTATCAACAGTCAGAATCAAATTAATAAGTGGCCAAACTCTTTTGACGATTCCATCAAACCCTTTCTGGAACTCAACCTTTAGTTCGTCAGCCCGCATTGCATCTGGCTTGAGCAAAGCGTTCAATTCCTTTCGTGTGCTATCCTCAATTTTCAAATCAGGATTGATACGACCTAACCGTACGTCTTCTACCAGTTGCTGCCACTGTGTTTCCATAGCAACAAATCCCATGTAAATGATCGATGAGAAATTAGCCTCTATCATGCCTAATTTGCGATCTCTGAGACCGAAAAGCAAATGGATGTACAACGCTTCAGGTTCAGTCATGATATTGAAGCCGGCCTTTGGCGTTGTATATAGATTAAGCAGCGCCTTTGAACTTGCAGGAGAAGAAGAATTCGGACCAACGGGAATACCCGATTCTGATGTACGTGGTTTGGGAGAATAGAAAAACTTCAGATCCTTCTGCAGTTGCTTGGCACCTGGAAATGCCTTGAACAGAGAATCAAAACAAATTGATATTCCTTGTAAAAAAAATGCACTGTATTGCTTTTTAATGGTCGGTAATATTGATGCGTTGCCCGATGTCCCCGAAGTCAAACTCAAATTTATGGGTCTGTCCTTGGTGATAATATTTTCCTCACCTTTTTCTATTCTATTTATGTACGCTTTATAATGCCCATATCGTGTTAGAGGATGAGATTTCCTGAAATCTTCTTGCGATTTAATCTCCGAGAACTGAAACTCTTGACCATACTCAGTCTCCGCATTATACTTCAATCTCTGCATGAGAATTCGTTCCTGTGTTTCTGAAACTTTTTAGTGGAGGCCTCAAGTTTCTTTCGTTTGTAGCAACCAATCAGACCCATGAACGCAAATGCCAGATATTGGTCAAACATTGTCCGAGGTGTGTGATAGTCTGATGTTATCATTTGTTGAAGCTTGTATATAAATACGGTTGCACCAATGCATCCCACAGCAAGGAAGCCTAGGAAAAAAAACAAGTGTACCGGTAAGAGTTGTTGGTACACATGTGCTTTATTGTTTTCATGGTTTCCTTATATTTATATAGTTTTTAATTTCAGTCATC